CGAGTAATATTTTCTTCTGGACATTAGGAAATTTGCTAGTGTGGTATATATCGAAAACGAGAGATTTGTAGGTTCAGCAAAATAGGAAGACATTGTATAAGTAGGCTGTCTGGCTCAAGCCAAGACTTTAAGCATGTAAATAATTCAGATATAATACCATGGAGCAGAAAAATATCCGTAAATATTCATCACTTTTGGATATTTCACTCTGTTGGATGATTCTAATAAAAAAAAAAAAAAAATTATGTCCTACTTTGTTAATTGTATGCTAATATTCATCAATATTCATTAAATTATTAGTCATATGCTAAGAATACTCATCAAAACAGTGTAAGTATTACCACTTAATCTCGAAATTAAAATCTAATTAACAAGATAAAATTTTCAACCAGCCAAATATATTTTCTCAGTGAATTAAAATCGCTTAACAAATTCATTCAATTTAATATGACGCATCATTTTCAGTTCATTTATAGTGGAAAGGTTTGTTCATATTCGATCATTCAATTTATTCATGCTAACATTTCTCTGACAGCCAAAATTCTCCTCGTAACCATTTAGGCAGTTGAAAAAGGGCCAAATAAAAATTGGAGCCAAAAAGTGAAAACGTCCATTTTTGACGCTAATTCATTGTACAGCTGCTGTTAGCGTTAACATTTAATATGATTGATGCAACGGAACGTTTCATTCATTCGTTTGTTTTAATTTTTTTTTTTTTTTTTTGATATTATTATTGAAATATATTTGAGAATGTAACATTCATCAAGCTTAAATACTTGAGGTTACATCTCATATGTCAATTGCCTAAAAGTATTTTTAAGTGGAAAAATGACGAGACAATGAATTATTATAATACATAAAATTCAAATTAATAATAATAATTTTCATTATAATCAACACAAATGCTAACAAAACAAAACTAAAGAAATAAATAAAGCAAAACATATGTAGCACAAAAAATTTCACGATTAAGTGAACTGGAACACCTTTATTAATTTCTTAATGGAAAAGATAGGTAAAACTACATAATGTTTTATGACGTAAATGAGTATATTTCAGTTGTACGTCAACATTACATCAATCAAATCATTCTTATCACCATTGAAAACATCAAAGAAATTAATGGAGTAAGGAAAAAAAAAATGTAATCTTATCAAGCAATATTACACTTATAATTATGCAAAAAAATACTAATGCGAATCAAATTTAAGTCACATTTTCAATGCAATCCACAATATCATATAATAAACAATGTTACTGATGAAAACTTCAGAATACATGAAAACTAAACTTTTTCTAAAAATAAATCACAATATTTAACCTTTCTTCTATTTTTCAATTATCATTTATTTGACGGAAACGAAAATGAGAGAAAAATGATCAACGAAATTTCATACAAAAACCAAAATTACCAGTTGAAATTATTTTTGCTAATATAAAATTATCTGAAAATTTTAAAAATTGTTTGAGGGGAAAAAAATCACAGAATTGGTGTAAATGAAACCATGGTATCGGATTCGGTTGTTAAATGGAACAATAAAAATTGAGCTGCTGACCCTGAAATGAATGAAATATGAAGCAAAAAATCAAACTCCTCTGAAACTATTGGTAAAATTTAAACTTAATATTTTCAATTCTAAATTTCCAAAAAAATTTAATTCATAAAAACACACCATTCTCATTCATTTGAATTGTTAAACTTCGTACAGCTTCCACTAATGTGCAATCTTTGGAAAGTTGTTCACGAACTGCTTCATCTTTGATCACAAACATCAGAAAATCAATGGTACTCTTTACAATATCCGCATCATCACAACTCAATAATAAATCCCAAATTTGATATGAACTACTAAAATTAAAACTAACTTGTACAATTTATCAGCTTTAGCAATTTGAATAAAAAATTAGAAATTTTATGAATTAAAATTCCCTTACAGGATAGCTGTGATTCACTGTTTGAATGAATGGAAAATGTTGAAAATGTGCTAAAATTTAAATTCAAATTTATGCATGATGAAATTAAATCGACAAAAAGACTATAATAAAAATTGAGAAAGTTTTCTTTAATTTGAACAACAATCTTAAATAATTATCGTTTCTGTGATTGTTTATAATTACTTAAGAAGATACATTGAATATACCATGAATATCGGATAGCATTGCCGAAGTTAGTATTACAATTTGACAAAGATATTAATAAACCGTAAGCTTTTTGAATTATTGACTTCTTCTGATGATTTCCCTTTTCATCATTCTGTAAGTATGATTCAATTTTAAATTATTTATTCAGTTTTATTTTTTTTTTTTGATTTCATTAATTTGAATAACATGAAGATAGCTATGGAATAAAATATATGGCTCGAAAAAATAAATCAAAGTGAGCAATATTATCAAAATACTAAATTATCGTATGATATAATTTTTTCAATATTCTATCATATCGTTTCACTAATATCTGCCTTATCAGTTGCATGAATAAATAAGTTATCTTTACTGTATGAACAAAAAAAAAAAATCATACTTCTATAGTATTTGCAGTTGTAGCGATAATTTCAAATAAAACTTCAGTTAAGGAATTATTATCAACGCTGATATTAAACAGTATCGGAGGATGATTCAATTGATCTGCATCTACCAATCGTGCGAATAACTAAAAATTTTATCCATTTTTTTTTTTATTTTGAATTAATAATCCTTAAATTCATCAGTGCACTAATAATATTGATGATATCTTATCATCATATCAATAATATTGAAATATTTGCGAATAAATGAAGGAAGCATTCCTATAATTCTAAGTATATATACAAAAAATGAATGAATGTAAATTTCTATAATTCTAAGCATACAAAAATGAAAAAAATGAGTAAATGAATGCTAATGTTGAGAAAAAAGATAGTCATGTAAATATTGCTGGTATAAATAGGAATGTAAGACTTACGCTCATTACGTGTAAACGTGAACTGAGATCAACGGGATGAGCAAGTTCATATAGAAGTAAACTTGGAGCTCCTTCAAATGTTATCAACTGAAATATCATACTACTGATATCTGATATTTACAGTACTCTAACTAATAAATTCATTAATAATCTTTTCCAAATTTGAAACATTTTCTTTAATCGTTTATTGTAAATATATGGGCGGAGTTTTTTTAATTCTTTTCATATACACTACAAAATTTTGCAAAAATAATGTTTGAAAATAAATTTTAATTAATAAAAATTGAATACTTACTCGTTTCCTGACGCTGATATTGCGTTCGGGTGAAGAACAACCGCCTGTAAAAACGTGTAATGACCATAGCATTGAAGAAATTAAATTTTTTACTACAGATTCATCACGTCTTTTGTGGTAAGCTTGTAACAAATTAATCGTTCCTTCGATAATACCACAGTCAGCTATGAAATCCTGAAATTAAAATAAAACAAAACTTTACATGAAAACTTTCTGAAAAAATTAAAAATTTTTTTGTTATAAAATTTACTATCCGAAAATAATTATTGATAAGTTTCATTGGGAAGTGCCAACTCTTAGAAGACAGAAATACCTTATTAGCATTAGAGCTACCATCGCATGTTGCAGATATATTCCCGAGAAAATCGAATCCAACATGTAAAAAATAGGGATTATTACGAAAAATACCCATCATACTAAGCGTTCGACTAATCGTTTCACGTAAATCAGCATTTCTCACACCGTCTACATCGCTAACCACACGTAAACACAACATTACATCAAGAGCAACACGTTCGGAGCAATTTGGATTTGCCAAAAGATATGATATAGTCTGAATTATTAAAATTATCATTGCTTAATAGTTAAAATTGAAAGCTTTCCGTTAATTATTTTTTAATTTAAGAGGCTTATAAAATACATCAGGAATTTATTTCTTTTTGCGATTCATTATAGTTTTTTTTTTTTTTTTTTTTAGTGAATATCACTTATTTCCTAATTAATGAGCAGTTTATCACTGAGTATATCATAAGTTATCTAATTTTTTTCGTTATCATCAAAATTCTTCAAAAATTAATTCATAATCCTCTCTTCTCCTTTCTTCCTTTCTTTCATTATCTTCCCAAAAATGCTTACCTTGACTCCATCAAGTTGAACAAATTTCTTAGCGTATGAAAGATCAGTTGAGCAAACCATAGCAAAAATAGCTCGAGCTATCCTGTACACCAC